TATAATCAACTTTCTCATATTCTCATCATTCCTTAAGCAGTTGACTCAGCAGTTCCCTGCAGTCCACTCAACTGCCCAATCAACTGTTCATTTAAATATGTCCAAACTCCACTCAAACATAGAAAGTTATTTTTTTACATAGAAAGTTATTATTCATTGTTTATTTAGAGGTCAAGACTTCCGTTGTGCATCTACAATCTCTTAAAAGATTATATATCATCCCATCTAGAAGGGAAAAGTTTTTAAAGTTGAAAAAGATTTAAAAGTCTGTTCACCCCCCTAGACTTTTACCTCTATCCGGGACCATCACTTCTACCTCAAGCCCCTCTGCTCCAGCGATTTGCACACCAGCATCAGTGTACAGGTCAAGGCTTCGAGCCAAATCGAGCCTCAACTCTTCGGGGAACCCCGGTCTCGACCAGCTCTGTCAAGCAGCGATGGATGGTGGTTCCAACGACGGTGGGATGCGAGCAGCGAGCGTCCAGCTTCCTGCAAAAAAGATTTCAACAAGTAGCCCACGACGGAAGATCAGCGAGCTCGTGCGAATGACCAGACAACTTCTAGCGAAGGGGGAATCGACGACCACGATTTCCCAGACCTCGAATCCGCGGCGCACGGTGGACGGCGGCGGCGGATGGTGGCGAACGGCGGCGGAGGGTAGAATCCGACTCTGATACCACTATTGATGATCGATTCTTTTCCGGCTCATGTCTCCAACCCCTCTAACTCACATACACCACACTAGGGATGACCTTTCCACTCACCAAGCTTTTTCTCCTACCACTAAGGTACATCTCTCAAATCACACACAAAGAAAAGGAGATGGAGAAGAGCACTGCTCACTACTCTCAAACTATTCTCACGCAGGCTACAATTCACAAAGGAGGAGCACAATAATATAATAGGCGGACTGTCTGTTATTGCTCACGGGTCTAATTGACAAAGAAGGGGGCTCCAGACAGGTTGTTCAACGGTTAGACTACAGAGGGTCAGACAACAACACTCACGGGCTGCCAGACAAACAGGTGCAGCGGACAACAACAAAAGGGCGCCAGCCAGTAGGTAAGTCAAGAGCCAATAAGAGAGGTAAAAATAGGTATCACTTAGTGGGAGTAAACATGGAGTGTAAGTCAATAATAAGATGGAAAGGAGGCCTTGATAGGACCAATACCTCCAACAAAGTTCAAGTGGTTTTGTTCTAAAAATAATTAAATACTTTCTTTAGTTCATTTAGGAAATTCCACACATTCATTTCTTATACTTTAAATAATTTTTCATTTGAAAATTGTAATACTCTATGTTTTGTATAAAAATGTATTTACCTTAATGCAACAATTGCAATTAAATATTGAGTAAATTTCTGAAATAGGAGTAAGACAATGTATAATTCCAAAAGAGAAGTAATATGTTTTCTCCTAAATAGTAGTATGTTATTGTTATCCTGAGAATTTACTGTCATATTTTGTATAGTGGCAGTATAGTGCCGCAATTGGATGTACTTACTATGTTTAACGGTAATTACTTATATTTAGAAAATAAAAACACAGTACTCATATTTTAAAATTTCAATACGTTTTTCCTTTTACTAAATGCAATTTTTGTTACATACTCGTAAAACACATAAAAAAGAAGGGGAGCCTCGGTGCACCAGTTACAATGTTGCTTCGTGATGATAGGTCACACAATCAAGACTTGGGAATGGCCGCTTGTTAAAATGATAAGGGAGACTTGCCTCTTATGCACCTTTGTGGTAGAACGCTTCCCTAAGGCTGAGATTTTGGAAATGAGAACCGCAGAATCGAAACAAACCGAACTGTTATGAATCGGTTCGATTTCAACATTTACTAGTTACTTATTAATGGTTCGGTTCTGATTTCATATTAACAGGTTGTTCTCGGTTCCCGAAAAAAATATGTATCTGGAACTGTTAAGAAACCGCTATATATAATAATTAAAAAAAATATATATTTCTTATAGGCGTGTGTGTGTGTATTAATGTATATTCACTTCTAAGGCTTTTATTAGAGGCCGAGATAGTCGAAATTGAGTGTCTAATCATGCTCCTTTGAGATGAATGAACTTTTTTGCTGACTAATTACATTGCTGATTCAAGATCATAATTATTGATTGTAGTGAATGTGTTGTTTTGTTTCATTTACTAAAATTTTCAGTTTGGTATTTATACATGTTTTAAGCTTAACTTTTGAGGTTTGAAATGATGGTAAACATATTTGTATTTCTTGTAATTTCAAACGTTGAATGTTTTTCTCGCACAAATTTAACACTGATTTAATTTGTAAGATTTTTTTTTAAAACTAGGAATCATTAAATGATAAGAACCGAGCCGTTAAGAATCGATCGGTTCCATATCAGTTCTATAAAAAATACTACCTCCGTTCCTATTAAAACTTCCAAATAGGTTTGGCACACAGTTTAAGATAATGGGTATTGTGTGGTGGAGAGTTGTGCAGAGGAGTGAGAAATGTGTAAGAAATGTTGTGAACCACAAATTCTTTACTAAAAAGGAAAGTAGAAGTTTTAATTGAAACAGACGAAAAAGGAAAGTTGGAAGTTTTTTTAGGAACAGAGGGAGTATATAAGAACCGAACCGTTATTAAGATTTGATATTTTTCAAATGGTTCCATCTATTATGTCTGCCTAGGAATCAGTCCCGGTCCTGAGCTTACTCTTCCCTGAACCCCTGCCTTATGGGGCCAATGTACACCAGAGTGTCCCGTTTACTTGTAAAAACATACCCGCACGGGTATCTCAGTTAGTTAAACGATGGGAAAGTTGAAACATTGACTAATGGTCAAAACCCACAGCGACAATGTGAATGTTACAACTCTTGTGTGCTAAGGTAGACTTTTGATGTGCACGAGTAAAAGATATATCACTATTGTGCTGGCTGAGTTACCGTGACCTGTAGCCTCCCGAATGCTTGTCGGGTCAGAGCGTTGGGACCCGATTGGAGATTCAACCTTTTGGAATATGACTTGTAAAAACACATCTTTATGCACCCTTAGGGTGGGGATTGGTAGACATATTCACTCGCCCTTGGATGAAAGTGGAGCTGCCATTTGATGCAGGGCCCATGAGAAAGTAATATCCCATATTCATTCAAAATGTTACTCCGTATAACTTTTTTATTTGTATTTCAATTTATATAAAAAATAATTCATATGTCTCAATATTATCTTCAAATTTTCTTTTTCCGTTCGTCTCAAAATTATCTCATTTTTTTACTTTTTGACAAATAATTAGTTGTTCCCGGCATTTTTTACACATTTATACACATTTCTTTTTCATTTGCACAACTCTCCACCACACAACTCTGTTAGTTTATTCGCGTATAATTCACGTATAATACACTCAAACGTATAATTCGCGTATAATACTCCCGTTTATGAATTTTTCAGAAAATACTTAAAAATTCACGTACTTTAAGGATAAAATGTATAATACACGTACCGTACGTATCGATACGTATTTTATTAAAAATACCATTAAACTGAAGCCTAATGGAGTGGTACAAATGAAGTGAAATGTTTAGCTGCTCAATACTATTTATAATGCTTAAAAAATTATTATGTCTTATATGTTCGTTAATTGTTTAATAGTCATCATCAGATTTAATAAATTAGCTTCTTAAAGTCATAATTCGTTTTTATATTACTATTGTACTATTATTTTGTTACTCTTATTCTCCACTCATACCAAAACTCCAAAAAGAAAAGAATATTATGGCGGCTCACCAAATTTACGGTCATAATAATATAAACTATTCTCTAGAAATATGTCTCTACTTCTGCACAAATAGGCAATATCATTTTTATTATGTAATGTACCTATGAATTAAAATTCGTATATCTGAAAAACTGTTCCGTACATTTTAAACTGTTGAAGAATGTAATGCATATGCTAAATCACTCTTTCTTCTCATCATTAAATTAATATATAAGACATGTATTATATGCCGTATTTTTAAATTGTAAAACGTTTAAAACACGTTCGTATCTTTATTCATTTCACGAACATATGACACATATATTTAGTCGTATTTTATATAATTGTATCGTATTATACACGAACGTACGTATTATTGTATTATTCACGAACCGTATAATACTAACAAGGCACACAATACCACTATCTTAATCTCTGGCCGATTGTACTTTAGGAGATTAATATGAGACGGAGGGAAATTATTAAAATTCATAATTTTTTATTCTTTCATTCGACGCCAAAAAGTAATATTTTATTTAAAAGATTTTATTAGGTGAATGTATTGACGGTGCTAAATTAAATTAAAAACTGAATTAACCAAAGTGAAAACAAGGAAAATTTTGATTTATCGACGGAAGTTGATTTCATTTGACAAGCCACTTAAAGGCCCCAAGATCGGTTTACGCTATTTAAAGCGTGGCAACTAAATTGAAGGTGTAGTAAATCCCTGCGCATTAAAAGTTAACAGTACAGTTAATGCGTACAATTTTCCAATTAAAAATCATTTTCTTGTCTGTATCTCTAGTAACCAGCAACCTAGTGATACTCTTAAAGCTATCATTAGTGTTCTTGAATTTCTAAACACGGTAAATGCTATCCCCAACGACCACCCTATTAAATTACTCAGTATGAAATAAACAGTACATTGTCGAAATGAGGCGGTTTACTCGTTTTTAGTGTACTGAATTTACCCAACCAAATAAGATATTTTGGAGATCGCCGGCCGGCCGGCCGGGCAGAGAGTGAGTCGTACAGAACAAACACAAAGGCAATGAATAATCAAAGGTTTGGTGTGGTGTTTATTTGGGTGTACGCACAGCGCCAGCGCCGATCAGAGTGGCAGTGGGGGGACCGGTTGGAGAAACTCATGATGGTCCTGTGAGGCGCACGAAGCAGACACGCGGGCCCCACCACTCATCTTGTCTGCTGCACCACCCCACACCCCACCTACCTTCCTTCCTCCCCTTCTCTTCCTTCATCATCCACCCTCCACTCACCCATTCTTTCCCTTCACTCATCTCTCTCTTGCTCGTTCTTCTCTTCTTTTTCCATCAAGAAATTAGAAATCCCAGAGCTTTTTTGTTTTGTGTTATGGATATGGATGCCGCCACCCTGGAACTGATGGATGGTGGTGGTGGAGTGGTTTGTGGGGGTTCAATGTCGACGGTGTCTGAGTCCTATTCTTCGCACCCGGAGGAATCCAATCTTGAATTGGGTCTTGGACTGAGTCTTGGTGGCAGCGGCGGCGGTGGTTTGAAGAAGGCAAAGGTTGGGTTTTGGGGTCAATACCCTGGGAGGAATAGGATCTTGACGGCTGAGGATTTCCCTCCAGGGGTTTCTAAAACTTCATCTTGCTCATCTTCATCTTCCTCTGCAACCAAAGCTTCCAATGCCTTCTGTGGCTCCAAGAGAGCTGCTGAGTCTTCTTCCCCTCCCCGCTCTGGTCTCAGGTATCGTTATGTATCTCTTTTGCCCATCTTCATCTCTCAATTTCTGCTTCTTTTTTTGCAGGCAAAATAGAAACCTGTAGTCTTAGCTGTTGCTTTTTCCTCTGCACATAAGCTGTTGCTTTTGTTGTTTTTTTGTAGTTGAAGATACTAGTATGTTTTTGCTTGTTTCTTTGATAAATGTGCATGGAAATTGAACCTTTTCTTAGGCTGTCTCTGTTGTGTGGCAGCTTAGACTGTTTGATTCTTGAGGACTTTATTGCCTTAAATGAGATTTGGATTTCCCTTTTTTCCCTCTATCTCGTTGTTCTTGATCCTTATTCTGTTCATTCATCTGTAGATAAGATCACCTAACGTGCGAAACAATTTCTGTTTTTCGAAGTTTTTGCTAGTCCGCTGTGTTGTGAGAAAGAATTGCTTTTGTTGTGCTGATTGGATTAAGACACTGTGAGAGTAGGAAGAAAAGGGTGAACAAATATGCACAGCTTCCAGTTTCCACCATTTTGTGTATTTGTTAAATGCTATCTGATACTCCCTTCGTGTTTTAATGTTCACTACATTAGGTTGGACACACAAGGACTAAAGTAGTAGGGGTACTGAATAGTTTAGAAAAGGAGAAGAGAATGTCTAAAAGTATGAAAGAGAAGATAAAAAGAAGATAAAGTAAGGGTAGTTCAGTATTTTATAAAGGGTAAACTTACCAAAAATGTAAGTGTAGGGAACTTTTAAATACAGTCCAAAAAGGAGAGTGTATGGAACTAACTACGGAGGGAGTATTAAAGAAGTGGGAAATTGGTGTTTGAAAATGCAGTTTTTATGACAAGTACACAAATATGTTCATTTGGTTGATGCCTTTGGTTACAAAGTTTGATGGTTAAAGGTTATAGGCTTCTACTCAAATTATTTCCACAGTTCTTCAGATATAGGACCCATCTGTTATAAGTGGGGGGTAAATGACTTGATCAATAGCTGCAACAAAACATATCAAGGAAGTACATCAGAACATATGTAGTCTAATAGACTGTAGGTATCCCTTCATGAGGACAGGACAAAATGCTAGTCTGTTTTGATGCTGAAGAATACTGTGAGAACTGAGAAAGAAATAGGTTGGGGAACATTGTAGATAATTAGTAGGAAAGATAATGGGTGGGAAGATCAAAGATGGACTAAATATCAAATTTTTACATGCTTTATAAAACTCTTTATTTACTATATTTACTTATTATATAAAGACTACGGAAAACTAAATATATGTCAATAAAGTTAAAAAAACTAACTGTATCTCGTTTTCCCTTGCATTTTTCTGAGATAGAACTAACATACCCTTAAAAATTAGAGTTGTCTTTAGCGGGCATAGGTAGAGCTAATGGATTTTTTTTTGCACAATGCATAACATATTTCCTTTGTCTTGCTCTCATTAGTCTCATATTTAGGGAGTTGTATCTTTGTTCTTGAGTAACTAATTGGTGTTTGTTTATTTTAATTTTTGTATGAATTTGCTAAAGCAGTCAGGTTGTGGGGTGGCCGCCTATCAGAACATATAGAATTAACAGCTTGGTCAGCCAGCCCAAATCCCCAGTTGTTGAAGAAGGTTTCTCAGAGAAAAGCAAAAACAAAGTCATCATCGTGGACAACTCTAGCAAGATAAATAATGATGATGCTAAGGACAAAAACCTTGCCAAGAAGAAATCATTGTTTGTGAAGGTCAATATGGATGGAGTTCTGATTGGGCGGAAGATTGACCTTGCTGCTCATACCAACTATGACAACTTAGCCCGCACATTAGATGACATGTTCTTTATTATGCCTAGCAAAAATGGCGGTCCAAAATGTGAGTAATTTTCTTATATTTTAAACAAATAATCCCACTTTTTGGGTCCACTATTTTACCCTGCTTTGGGATTTCCCATATGAAGAGAGGAAAATAAGAAGGCTTTTATTTTCCATTCTTATTATGACCTCTTGTGATTTGATTGAGGTAAAAAAGAAAGGAATGGTAATTCAATATACTTAATAATTTTTAAGTATTATTATTTAATACCTTCAATACGTACAAATTTTCAATGAAGTTAGAAATTTACAAATTTTACCTTCATTACATACAGAAACTAAATCTCAAAGTTTCAGTAGTATAGAAAGGTAATCTGTATAATGACTGGCAGACAAGGTACATAGTGTTTCTTACACAGGGTAAAGGCGCTCTAAAGGTATTTTTTAATAAAAATGCTTTAGTAAAATTAAATATTTTCCTAAATCACTTTAACAAAAACTTCACCCAAATAAGTCCTTGAAAGTTTGAAAGTGGAATTTCTCAACTGCTGATAGGATATAACATAACACTCAAATATGGTGAAATTGTGATTGATGTTAGACCTCCAATTTTGCTTACTTCCTAACTATCATAATTAGTTGCTACTCCGTCAGATTCCAAAAACTCTGAAGAGAAAAATGGCATGACTGAAGCCTCAAAATTGCTGGATGGATCATCTGAATTTGTGCTTACTTATGAAGACAAAGAAGGCGATTGGATGCTTGTTGGAGATGTTCCATGGGAGTACGTCTGATTTCTATTCACTTAAAATTCACACCATTCAACATTGTGCTGCTACTTGACTTTTTAGGGTGATTTACATCTACCCCCTTGAGGTGTTAAGATCACCAAATGGCCCTTAAGGTTTCTGAAAATATAAAGAGGCACCTCGACCAGTCAATTTGTTTTTTCAAATTATGCTGAACGTGGATATAATGTAATCGTATTGGTAGGAATATAGTTTTTCGGAGAAAAAAATTGTTAATATTGGTAGGTAGGATTTGAGTTTTAATATGGTCCCAACAAAAAGGAAAAAGCTTTAAATATTTGAGCTGTTGAAGTGCTTGAAACAACCAAATTCACTATGATTTTGCACAATTCTTGTTAATATCCATTATATTCTGACCTTACACAAAGTATCCTTTACTTGTAAGTTTTAAAAACCTAGGCTATCATTAGTTAATTTGACCAAATTATGGGGTAATAGATGTAATTAAACCAAAAAACAAGATATTTCCATATTTACAGCACTGGTCACACTGCTTTGTTATTAAAATTATTTCAGGATATTTGTATGCTCGGTAAAGAAGTTGAGGATCGCAAGAAAATCTGAGGTCAATGGGCTGGGTATGCAAAAAGTTCCTGCTTTTTCTTTAAATTGGCAAAAAAACATATTCTTGATTTTTATTCTTGTATTTTTATTATGTTTGATCCATTTCTGAATTGCAGGTCTAAGTGTGTGTGATGAAAGGAATGCGAGACCGATGACTACGACAATTAATAAGCCAGTATGAGTTGTACAAGTGAAAAACTATTCTATATGCCCCAACAACTGATTGATTGACTCGTACTCGATGAAGCGTAATACCACTTGGCCAACTATTTTTGTTCCATTTGATTGTTAATTTCTTTGTTTTGACGCGCTCTTTTCTCCCCCCATGTTATAATTGTCTATGCTATGTTATCCCCAAATGTCGTTGAAAATATACAAAAGCATCATAGTCGAATGTGTTCATGTGAATGAACACATTGTTGGATTTGTTGGAATACTTAGTCTGTTTTTGTAGTATTTTGTAAAGTATGGAAGCGCCCACTCTGTAATGTTTTAAGCTTTTAAGACAGAGGAAAGAATACTGTTTAGTAAAGAGCTGTATGAAATATGATGAACTGGTGATGGTTCAAACTTTACCTACCTCAGCTAATATAATATATGGAGTGAATTTTGATTGATGTGTGCCTTATTTTCTTCATGCAATCTTGCATTCTTGCTTATGATGTGCCCCAATTCACAATGAGAAGTCATTGTATATACCAAACATCATTCAATTGCTGCTTTGACTATTTAGATTTGCTGATATGATAAATGTCCATACAAAAAACATGTTTCAAACTCTGAGGTTGCTTGGTAGAATGTGAAATACTGGAGTAATAATTTAAGATGTGAAATATACAGGTGTATAAAGTTAGTTAGCGTTTTAAATAAATTATATGAATCTTTTCTAAACATTTCATATAATATTATGTACTCTGTAAATAATGCATTTTTATTTTCCGTGTAATCTAAAAATAAATTATACCTATTTCACTATTTGTGTAACTATTTTGTGCGTAAAGTTTTAATTTGCAAACTATTAAAGAGCCCAAATCTTAATCTATTTTATCAAAGGAAAAACTAATCTTTTGTGAAATTTTTTAGATTCCCAAAAGATACTCCATAACAATATAACATGAATAAGCGACTCTAAAAAAACATAAATAAGTGATACTACCATCTTCGTTGGGTGTTTCAAAAGGTGCGATAAGTTGAAAAGGCCGTTTTCCAACTTCCAAGCATTTGAATCTTTGATGCCTATGTGAGATTAAGGGTGGACCCGTCTGGCCCGGTTCAAAATTGGGTCTGTCACCATTAAGGATGTGTTTGGGTCCGTTTTTTCTGATTTTGGGCCTAGGGCTGACGCTAGGCATCTAGGCATGGACCCGGTCCGGGTTGGTTCAAGCCGGACTTTTTTTCAGGATGTTGGGCCTGGAACCGGCCCGGGTTGATACCGGGTTCGGGCCCGGTTCAAGGTAATTTTTTTTGCTTTGTAATTAACCCCCGACCCCCCTACCTCACCCCCACCCCCAAACCCCCCCAAAACATCCAGCCCTACCCACGGAAAAGAAAAAAAAATGAAAAAACAAAAAAATTGAACTAGGCCCGGCCCGGATCGCTCAGCCCAGTTCATGAAAATCAAGGTCCGAGCTTGACCCGCAAGACCCGCCCAAACCGGGCTAAAGCCAGGAACCGGTCATCAGGGCCCAGTCCGGTCTAGGCCCGTACACTAGCGGGCTGTTCCGGTTCCTGGGCCGGTTCGAACCGGTTGGGTCCATTCTTAGCTGACCCTACCCGCCTAATAGTATTGTTCAATCTGGGTTCACACTTTTGGGGACTGAACTAAGCAGTTTTATACTTTCATACCCGATTTCAAATAGTATAATTTTACGTAAATGGATTCACTTCATAATTTACTTCATTTTAAAAAAATCACATTTCACACCTAAATTTCACCTTATTCATTTAGGATAGGACTTTTCACACCTTTGATGGTCAAATTTGTAACAAACTGGCTTTTCACGTTTACTTACTATGCATGTGCATTTTTGTAGCCAAATGCCTAGACGTCCGAGGGCCCCACCTTTTAGCACCATTTAGACTACCCTTTGTTGATTAAATTGTGACAATAGTTTGACTTTTCAAAAATGATGTTTGTACACACTCTTATACACACTTTTGTACACATATATGTCTGTGAAAGCTTTTTTTTTGTCTGTGAACATCGATTCATAGACAATGTTTTGCACAAACAAAATATTGTCTGTGAACGGAATTCACAGACAAAAAAAAAAGCTTCACAAACATGGTGTGTATAAGGTGTGTACAATAGTGTGTACATCAAGCATGGTTGTTGACTTTTTTCTATTCATATTCTCTATTTTCACTACATATTGTTTTTTGTGAATGCTATAGTACGCGTAAGGCCGTCAAAACGTGAATGTAATGTACTCCGTATCTATCATGCATTTGATTGATTCAAGTAAATATTTCATCATTTGTTTTTATTCAATCTATTTATTTTCAATATTTTAATTGGTCCAATCTAGTGCTTACTTTTAAAAAATTAAAAAACACTCAATTACATATTAACGGTCTATTAGACAGATATCAAATCCTTTATAGATAAGAAAACATATGAAGTATATAATAAATGTAGTGAAACAAGTAAAATGGTTGAAATTGATGAAGTGACTTGTGGGCGTAGCTCAACTGGTAGCGAGTGAGTGCCACAAGGGTTAGGTCCCGGGTTCGAATCCCGGCAACTGCGATGAGGGGTTACTATGCTAAAATATGAATAAGGCCTCTGCAAGTACCGGAGACAGAGCCCCACTCTCTATCTGTCAGGTCGGGGTTGGGGGACCCTCAGGGATGGGATGTCATCCTTCTTTTGTTGAAATTGACGAAGTGAGAATTATTAAAAATTAGAGCTTTCAACCGTTTTAGTAATAAAAAAAACTCGGATTTATAATAAACTAAATCAAAACAAAAGAGTCAAATTGGTAACATACTTTTTCACTTAACACATTGTAACACTTGAGATTTAATTTAAATGAATTAATAGTACTACTCTTACCAACAAGGTGCATCTTCTTTTAAGGGAGCTCATTAGCCAAGAACTCCAAAGTTAAGCGTGCTTGCACGGGAGTAGTGTTGGGATGGGTGACCCCCTGGGAAGTTTCTCATGGCGCGCACGAGTGAGGACAAAGTGCGCGGAAAAGGCTAGTGGCGGTTTGTGAGGACAGTACTAGAGGTTCGGAGAGAGTTTGGAGTAACTACCTCGGGTCTTGCGCGGCCGGGGTGTTACAAATGGTATCAGAGCAACCCTGCGACGGTGTGTTGATCCGTTGGATATCAGGCGGGCATTTAGCAGGGGAAAAGATTCTGGGATATGATTGAGATTGATTTATGGGCGCAATGAGGACGTTGCGTTCCTAAGTGGGGGTGATTGTAACACTTGAGATTTAATTTAAACGGATTAATAGTATTACTCATACCAACAAGGTGCATCTCCTTTTCAAGGAGTTCATTAGCCAAGAACTCCAAAGTTAAGCGTGCTTGCACGGGAGTAGTCTTGGGATGGGTGACCTCCTAGGAAGTCTCTCTTAACAAATAGCTATTTGTTAAGAGAAATAAATTTGATAATAAACAACATGTGACAGTTACATCGGCCCAATGAAAGACTATTTATACTAGTCATAAATGCTAATATCATTAAATGTGAGCACACATTTGCACTTGTTTATAAGTGAAACCCTAGAACGTATGAAAAGATAAGGTGTGGCGTTGTTGCAGTTTATTTTGCGGTGGACGAGGGCGAGATGCCCTCGTTCTCATCTAATTGGATGAATGTATTGTTGTCATTGGGCTGATTACTGCGAGTGTGGGTCGTGGGTTGAGATCATATACTCCATCATAGGCATAGCCTCGGTTCGGGCCGGGTCGGGCCTCAGTCCGTTTCCGACCGGGCTTTTTTGAGAAGTGAGGCTCGGAAACCGGGTCGGGTAGCTCCCTCAAATAGATAAGAGTGTATGAGAATTATGAGAGAAAGACTTACCCTTGAAGGAGTCGTGTGTGTGTATACATATAGATAACAAAGATTAAATAATTACAAAAGTATCCCTACATTATTATCTATTACACCCCCTCAATCTGTGCACAGGGAACAACGCGCAGATTGGATTTAAGAAAATTAAAAGGCTGAGACAAATTTTTAGTGAAAATATCTGCTAACTGAAACTGGGTAGGGATATATGTTACAACCAAATCACCATGAGCCACACGCTCGCGAACAAAATGGTTGTCAATCTTAATGTGTTTGTTGCGATCATGCTGAATGGGATTAACTGCCAGGTAGGAAGCCGAGACATTGTCACAATAAAGCTGAACAGGTTTGGGAATAGAAAAACCCATATCAGCAAGTAAAGAGCGAATAAATAAAGTGTCCTGGACAGTATAAGCCATAACACGATACTCTGCTTATGTGGAATATTTTGAGACAATGGGCTGCTTTTTGGACCGCCAAGAAATTAGATTATCTCCCAAAAATATAGCATAACCTGTAGTGGATCGACAGCTATCAGGACACCCCGCCCAGTCTGCATCAGAATAAGCAATGACTAAAGAATGGTCACCACCCTTGCGCAGCCATAATCCCTCGGTAATAGTGCCTTGTAAGTACGTGTAAATACGCTAAACAGCTAAAAGGTGAGTAGTGCGGGGAGCATGCATAAACTGAGAAACCAAGTGGATGGCATAGGTAATAATATCCGGTCTAGTAATAATCAAGTACGGTAAGTCGCCAACCATAATGCGATACTCAGTACCATCCGTGAGAAGTTCCCCATCAGTTAAAGATAAATTAGTACGAGAGGGAAGAGGGGTACGAACAGGCGTGACAGTATGGAGATGGAAACGCCGCAAGAGGTCAGAAATATTTTTTTGTTGGGAGAGAAAAATGCCTCTAGGCGTACGAACAGTCTGAATCCCTAAAAAGAAATGAATATCACCCAGATCCTTCATAGCAAAAGTCTGAGAAAGAATGTGAATTATAGAAGAAACTAGGGCGGGAGAACTACCTGTAATGAGGATGTCATCAACATATAGAAGAATATATATGCGGTGGGAGCCATGACGATAAATAAACATAGAAGAGTCGGACTTACTCTGAGAAAAACCATGACTAAGAAGAAACCCACTGAAACGGTGAAACCAAGCATGAGGAGCTTGTTTCATGCCATAAAGTGCTTTACGGAGACGACATATATGGTTAGGAAAAGAGGGATGAATAAATCCAGGTGGCTGATGCATAAGACCTCTTCAGTTAAGTACCCATGTAAGAATGCATTTTTCACATCTAATTGACACACACCCCAACCAAAACTGATGGCAAGAGAAAGTAAAAGGCGCACAGTGGTAGGTTTAACAACAGGACTAAATGTTTCGGAGAAATCTACCCCAGCTTGCTGATTAAAACCTTGAACAACCAAACGAGCTTTGTGATGCTCTATAGACCCGTCTGAAGCATATTTTGTTTTATACCCATTTACACTCAACCACATTTTTTGTGCTATCACTAGGTACTAAATCCCAAGTCCGATTAGCAATGAGTGCATTAAACTCTTCAGCCATAGCGGTCCGTCATTTTAA